TGCAGTAGTGTTATTTTTAAAAATTGTAAACGGCTGACCGATATTTGAAACAAGGTGTTTTAATTAGCAAGGGGTTCATTCACCCTCGTTCTTTCAAAAAACAGAAAATACGAATAACACATTTGAACCATCTGGTTTTACGCGTGTAAGATATAATACATTCAGAGTAGAATGAAGCGTTGTCACTATCATTCCTAACTTCACGGGCACTTTGTAAATTGTATGTCCAAAGTCATTACCGATCACGGAATTCCATAAACCTAATGACGATGCACTAGATTGTGCACGAATTGAACTTTAATCGTGCTTCTCATCTAGTGAAAGAAACTTTCAATTCTTCGGATTTGCTAAGATTCTTAACGATTTTATAGGCCAAGAAATCCCATTTTTGCCATACTTAAGATCAATAAATTTGGTACTTTAGCTTTTACAAACAAACCATAAACACATACTATGCAGGTGAATCTAGTCAAATTTTTGGTTGATATCTAAGATTGCAGTTTATCGTGTTTATTTAAAATTGCACTATGATATCTTATTTTCCATGGTTTTAACAAACTAGCCTCAGCAAGTATTTTCTTTCTCCAGGTTTTCAGTTATCATTTTCCAGAGGAGTGAGCTGCGTTTCCTCCAGATACCCACATAATGAGAAAACCTACTTAGTAGGAAGAGTCACGCATCTTGTCAACTGGTTTATAACTTTGTTTCACGTTGGTACAAAAGATTTCGCAGGCTTCTAGTTTGCCCCAGTAATTGAAACGACTTTCAACGAACACTCAACGGACTTCAAGATTCTGGATTAAACTGCCTTTTGTATTGAAAGAGCCGTAAGATAAAAATTTCGGTATGTTTTGGAAAAACACATTGGCAGTTACTTATGAATCAGAGCAGGATGTCTATAAATTATTATGATCATGATGCAAAGAATGCTCAAGATTTGTCGGAGGGAGTTTCTACATCTCTAGCGCAATACATAATCTAGGAAAACAAGCTGTTGCATTTTATCGAGCCTGTTTGCCGTCCCCATGAACTAAAAGCGATTGGGCAGCTGCCCAGGAAAGAAACTCATTGACAACAATTGCAAACGCCAACAGCATAAGCACGACAATAGATGCATTTAATGGTAAAAACCTGGGCAATAATAATGCTAATCAGCATGACCATTTCTGTTCACCATTCTTTCCTACCTCTTCATAACAATGATGAAATAGATAATTTCATGTTATAGAGTTTAACACCACCAGACTTAACCAGGATGGAAGATTAAGTGACGGAAGGAAAACATCCGTTACAAACAAACGAAACAAATAGCTTTAATATTAAACCTCCCTAGACAATACTAATCAAGTGGCTTTTTTGGTGGACCCTGAAGAGTTACTACGTTTACAATTTTAACTATATATCTTACTGTTCAACTACTTTCTTACAAATACTTACTCATTGACTTAAAATTATTGCATTCCATCACTCTTCCTTCCACTCGTTTGTTGACACTAAGTTATTATGTTCGGAATTCCACATTCTATCCTGTGCTACTAGGGAACATTGTTTCGATGCTACACTAACTGTCTACCAGCATTGATTGTCCGATATGCTTGCTCAAGGTGACTAAGAAATTATTTTTTTCTAACAATGAGTAGAACATAAACCGTGGAAATAAGACATAACCACTATCTAGCAAACAACTTTTAAATGCTTATTATCAAAAAAGAAAAGAGAGGGTGGTTGCAGCGAAAAGAACACACTGAAATTCCCCTTAGAGTATTATATTGGACAGTATTGTCATTTATTCGCCTCTTCTCCCTGCAGAGTATTTTAGCCTTCATTCAGCTCTCTTTTAACCACACTTTGGGTTTCCCTGTCTTTTTCGCCTGAGCCTTTATCATGTGGCCCTCGTTAAAGACGTATCTTTAGTTACTTAGTCTTCCTGTTGTATCTTGCCGGACTTTTGATTGCAAGGTCGTGTTTGGCCAAACCTAAGGTCACAGAATGGTTCAGTGTATGACTATTACCCTCAGACTGTCTGTTTGGAAAGGTTGCCGGAACCCTCGTAAATAGACGTCTAATCACATCTTGTTGAGAATATTTCTACTGGTTTTCGGGTATCGAACTTTTGTTTATTACTTATTCCCTTTGTTGTCAACATAATATCTAGTGGTAAAAACCCCTGACTGCATAACACTGCCTGTACCGTTTGAGGCACTTTGTATTTGTGACACGGCCTATTATTGTTTTACGTAAGAGAATTTTGAATTTAAACAGAGTTTGTGTCTCGATTTAATTTAATAGAAGTCGTCAAAACACCTCATATGCTATACAGAAGGACGTTGTCTGATCTGGTCGGTTTAAACTTAGGCTCGCCAGCTCTGTATTTAAACAGAATATTGGTATTTCGGTCGTCATAACGGATTTGCTGACTAGCAAACATTGATGGTGTGGGTGATGAATTCAACCAGCACTTGTTTGTGGGGCAGAATGTTTTTGATGTGTTTGGCTCCTAATAATCGATATGGGCCATCCATTAAATTATATTGAGGTTGTTCGCCGACGTTTGCTGCTCCTTAGACTCGAGTTTTCTATATTACACTCTTCTTGCTATTTTTCCAAGTCCAATAACAGGCAATTTGAAACGCTTAGGCATAGAACAGAAACCGGCATTCAGTAACAACAATAAAAATAAATAGTGGCTATAGTGACGAAACCATACGTTACTAATGGCTTTTCAGGATCAACAATCATTTAACTCAATTCGCCCTTCAACCTTCTATCAACTAACGCCTGTTTCCCCGTCACAGTTCTTCGCACAATGTGATTAGTTCATATGGTCCGTCTAAAGTTTCTTTATTGATCCATTTGTATTCTGCCTGATGAAAGACTTGTCTTGACCTCTCTTGATTAAAAAAATAGAAAGATACTTGGTTTATCGAACTTATTTTGTTGCTAGTTCTCCTTCATGTTGTTCTTCGCTTCTTTTCAGAGCTACAAATGTAGCAATCAAAAGTGAAATTCCGGAGAGATGGTCATTTTTTAAGCTTACGCGCGACGTGCCAATGGTAAACGAGTTATAACGACTGTAAATTCATAGTACAGTACCAACACAAAAACGTATTTATTAACTTGTTGATTTGTCTGCATGAAGATTCTATGAAAAAATTTCAGTCTCCCTATCTACTTACTTTCCTAACCTAGTTAATATCTTAAAGTCCGTGTTCTAAATTATTGGTCATACTTATAAGAGCGGCTTGTACCTGTTATTTGTTATGATTGATCATAACACTATTCTCATTCCCATGTACTTAAATGTAACCCTCTGTTACGTATAAATCCAACTGAATGACTTATAATAGTAAACCCTGTAATGTTTGCAAGCTTTTTAATCTGCCTGTAAACTGGTATGCTTTCTGCAACACACTGTCACACGAAACTAAATTACTATTATGCCAGATTTTACCTCTGACTGGCATCTAAAGCGAACGGTTTTGCCTCAAACGTCCGTGGTCTACATAATCGAAACGAACAATAAAGCTCATAACTTAAATTTCAATCCATTTCGAGAAAGACTTTTTCAATATATCGACTGGTGGAGCTTCAGTCGTGTAGTGACGCAAGCAGCTTCATCCATCGATAATTTTACACGAAAGTCGGTAATCAGCTGGTTAGTGATTTACTCTGGAATTGTGAACATTTTTAGAGCAACCTCGTAACTTTCGTTCTGTGAAAGACAAGAAAAGTAAGATCATATATGATGCAAATGTATCATGACAACCTCTACTCTTTTCACTTAACAGGTGAAATACGTTTATTTTAGCTGGTCTGTAGCTATACTGTGACTTCGCGGTCCTGAATATCAACTCATTTTAGGTTTTCTGAACGTTTCAAACTCCTCATCCTCTTTTTTCGGGCAAAGATTCGTTGCCTGCACCAGCACTAGAAAGTGTGACAAATATATGCTACATGGAAACCCGAGCACCTCTTAAAATCTATGCGGTTAAAGGTCATATGTACTGAATGGAGGATTATGAAACTTATGACCGTTATCGCACGTTAGTGAGCAGTGGTTTCCGTGTTTTGAGGGACGTCGTTCCCCAGATCAGTATGTGTCTATAAACAGGTGGCCCAACAGCACCATCCGTGTACCTATCCTTAGATCGGTGATCAAAGTATATCATAATGCACCTGGAAGGTCGTTTTAGAGATTCAAACTATTTGCTTCATTTTATTATACCTCCTCATATCTCCATGTTGTCGGCATATAAAAACCGATGATGAAGGTAACTTACATACAGGAATAACACTGATTCTTTAACTGTGCCACAGGACACTCCACTATTCCTAGTTTTTTCGGCTAGATAACTGTTAGTTAATCTACACCTTATGAGAGACGAACCAGAGAACCCCTTATCCATATAGTTAGGTTAACGCCGATCCTGATGTTACCTAACCTACATGACAGCCTGTTATGTGAAACTTTATGAAGAATTTACTGAAGTCAATGAAGGACACATCATATAACAGTCCCTGACATATCAGAGTAGTCTGAATTCCACGAGCTGCTAATAAGTTTGTTAAACACAAATAACCTGTTCCCAAACCGTCCTGCTTTTCAGATAAAACACATTCTTACTTGGATACTTAACACAACTTCTTGAGAATAATCAGGATGACCCGCAATGTACATTGAAGAATTATTTGAGTAAGTCATTTACTGCAACCCTGTGGCAAATTTCACTAGGTTTTGCTATAACCGTATACAGTAAACTCTAAAAAAGGCTTCAACTGGCATGTTTTCGTGAAGAAAAAGAATGATTTATAGTGGTCTATCACAGGTGCATTGATCATTTTAAGTCAAGCACGCCTCAATGTAAATAATGTTGAAGCTTTATCATAAGTACATAGTTACCAGTCCAACGTAAATGGGATAGCTACTCTTAGAGTTCCTTAACATTAAGATGACAGCGTTAGATGTAGCCTTGAGAAACCCCGCTTGATATAAATACGTGATGGCGTTTAGGTCTCTAACAGAAAGCTTCACGTTTATGAGAAATAATGCATTCCAAAACAGAAGTTTCTATCGTGACGATGTAAGTCCGTATCCCGAATTTATTTTACTCCACTTTGATTAGTCAGTTGGTTTATACAAGCTCGCGACAAAGATATTAAATAATAGAGTCAGATGTATGATTACTAAGATATGATAGGAACTGCTTGTTTGTAACTGATTTATATATTTGATTCGTTTCTTCACTACATTCACATTCGAAAGCCACAAAATCGCGCTGACACTTTACGGTTGTATAGTAAAAGAGGATGTCCTGGAAATTAACCGAGTATTCCTGGTTTACATACGACAAATAAGATAATAGAGTATTTCGAATTATGTATTAGGTGGTGTAGAATTAGCTCTGATAGAATTAACGTCCACTAAGTAAGTGTATGTACTTATCTTCGAACCATGCACCTAGGGTAGTCAGTGTTATGCTCCGTTTGTCTAAACCAAATTAAGCGTTGCAGTGTCATGACCTGCAAGCTAATTTAATAAAGTTACGGCCTCAACTATAACTGCTTACTGATTAATTTACTGGAGCGTGACCTTACAATTTCTAAGTTTCATGTTTGGACAAGATTTTGCAGCCAGAAATTATATGGGAGGTTAAAACGGTTGTTTTTCAAAAGGTTTTGGTTTCAGTTTGTTGACTGATCTCATCTCGGTACCTTGTATCAGTCATCGAGGCTTGTATGAGATTGCTGGTGATTTTGTGACTTTCGGTTTGTGACTAGTGACCTACACAATTTCTAGCAATTATGGGACCGTATTTCACTTTATAATAGGCTTTTCTGGATGTCTCTGTTGGGTCATTAAGATGGTTGGAAGTTTGTTGACTTTGATCAACACTGATTCCTTCATCATTTTGGCTTTCATTAAGCCGTAACATCATTTTTAACCTTTCGTTTTCCCTTAGAAATCTGATCAAGAATCATTGGTATCCAAATCTAAAAATAAAGCTCCTGTCAATAACTCTACTAAAAAGTTACGTAATGAATGGTGTGTCTCTAGTTTTTTTCAGTGATGATTTTACTTGTAGGCAAACCACAGTCAATTCACTTCAATATACGTTCAGCATGATACGACAAAAAAGTAAGTGTATATTTATCAAGTTTTATGAATTTTTTTAGTGAAAGAAGTTATTGCTCTTCATGATAGACATCTCATGGCTTCGAATTTGGATGACAACATAGATGAAGATCAGGAAATAGAGTTCCAAACTAAAGAGCTTACTCAGGTACTTGGCGATTAAATTTATTTCACATGCTGATCATTTTTCGTTTATATATATCTTCATATAGTACAATTACTACGTTGGGGTCTTGGTCTCATAAAAGATAATTTTAATAGTCGTTTTCTTCATCACAGTCATATGCTTTGTCCCCGATTTATGTTGACTTCCATCGTGAAGGTCCTGTCTTATTCCTTGAGCGGGATAGCGAAATTTGTTGGTCGTTTGCAGAGTAGGTGATTCACAGTTTGTTACAAAAGTATGTACAGTTAACTGACTATCTGTTTCAATGAACCGGTTTTAGTCGTCACACCAACTTAGTTGTTTCACTCTGATTTTGTAATTTTTCAGAGGTGACGAATAAACCTTTAAGTTCGAACGCTCGGTGTTCTTAATCATGGTTGCAGATTTCTGGTTATATGACATAAGTTCGGTCACAGCTGAATAGTTCCATTCATTTTCAACCCTTTAAATCTTGAGTTAGATATCCTTAGGATAGTAGGGATGGTAGATCAATTGATGAGGTGGGTAGGACATATATCACGTATTCCCATTCACCAACTACCTCGAAGGACGATGATATCTGGCGTGAGAGTTGGTTGTAAGGAGGCTACTGATCCATATTTTCTTTTTAAATCTTCAATGGCTAGTCGTTTATGTTACTACCTTTACTAATCTACGATTTTCTCGACATTATCAACTCATGTTAATGAGATGTAGCATCTTAAACGGATGTATACATGTGCCAAGTTTATACGTTGCTTTTGACTGACTAACTCTGCGCAAGAAGTTATTCAACCAATACGGCTCTAAAGCTATACTGTTGGTAGAAATATAATTTGTTTGGTGCTTTGGTTGTTTTATTTAACTTTCGAATTCTATTCTTTATTTTGACAGTTGTTTAATCTATCACATAGCCAACTTGGCCAGTTATCCAAATTGAAACGTTCCTCAGCTATGTGGCAACAATCGCAAGAAGCGAAGTTGGCAGAAAACGTTGTTTGTAATCTGGCGCGAACTCTTCAAGATCTCTCAGTGGTATTTCGAAAGGCACAATCAGAATATCTAAATAGTAATTTGCATTTTTTCCATCTTCATTTGTTTGTAAACATACTTTTAGTTATCGAAGAATGGAATTTTAACCTAAATCCAAGAAAAATTACGTGTAATTATGCTGTGTACCTTTCTGTCTTGTAGATAGTGTATTATAATGTTAGCGTTTGGCAGAATGTTTCAGATATAGGTTTCACACTGATCTGTTATCGTCAGTTCGGGATATCTGAAATGTTAGAGTTGATGTCCAAAATTTTGTCATAACCAGAGGTGTTTCCATCGACCCGTTCGAAAAGCAACTGACTTGTAGAACTGAGATTTATATGCTAATTAGTCACTGTCTAGTAACCAATATAAGCGCAATAATATAATTATCATTAAAGCGTTTCTAAGTCGGTTTGCAAATGTTTTAGTGTGATTGATATCAATGCTACTTATAGTTCAACTCTGTTAACTATTCAGTAATAACATGTACCATTACCCGAAGAGGAACAGATTAAATTTTTTATGGGTGCTCGCCATTACTAGTCTTTATTGTTTATGCTCAAACACCACTACGTAATATTTTTCCTTCTTCAGCACTAGTGAAATCTTGCAACAAACATTACATACTAAGATGATGGCACCGTCCTGTAAGGCGAATCTGAGCAGATAATTCATAGGATTTTTACACTGTTATCAGTATTACTACCATATTACTTGCTGTTTCTGTTATGCATGGATTATACGTTACGCCACTAAACTAGGTTTAATAATTTTTGTTTTCACATGTCTGCTACACGTTAGTTTCCTTTGTGAAATCCATACTATAATTCATCGGACAACTGAGCTATCGTATAAATAGAACAGATGAAATGTGATCCAGGATGTGTGTGTCGTCCTATTTGGGACTCGTCAGATGGATGTACCAGCGTCCCTGAATCCCACTGCTAGTCACATCCCATCAATTGGATACTAACTTGTATCACATTTGCTATATCAAAACAATCCGTCTAAGATGCACATATATCAACCACGACTAATTTAATTTCATTCAGAAATATCAACAACAGGATAATACAATCTATTTCGACCTGAACTATCATAAAAATGGTATTTATACATTGCTGTCTTTTCACATGAACATCTGCCTACACACAACTAGGTTCGGCTCGTTCACATTCGCTACAACTATGAAGCTATTTTTTTCCAACTTCCATTCGTGTTTGAGTCATTCAAGTAGGCGTTAAACATATCTATGTTCATAAACTAAACGCTTGGACTGATTATTATATATAGTAAGTGAATGAATAAAATATGATTATTTGTTAACGCTTCTATCAAATAGCAAAAAACCTATCTTATATGGTTATATAATGATAAGACTAACTGCTACCAAGGGATATGATAGTTGAACACGACAACTTTTATACCCCTCATTCTAAATTGCGACTGATTAATGTGAGTAATAAGCTAGTAGGCTACTAGTGTAAAATCACCACACTTAATATGACTCTCAAATGACGGAATGATCACTTTAATCTTTCATGTTTACGTATTTATTCTTTACTGTGATTACTAATAATATAAGTGATTATCCAAATCAAAGCTTATGTACTCGGCTTTGAGCCATATAGTTTGTGTGCAAACTACTTTTAGCTCCCAGTAGTATGAAACTATGTGAACTAACTTAATAAATAAAACTACTACCGGGAAGTTTAAATTGAAGTAGGTGGAGCTGAGTACAAAGCTTAAATGTCCTGTTAAAATCCTGACCATAAGATTATCGCTTCTTGGTTTTAACGTTACCAAAGCATCAATAAGTAGTTTAAAAGCCAACACTAAACAATGGAGTAAGCCTTTTTCAACATTTTGTTGGTAAATGGTTTGTAGTTTATACAGTGGTTTATTAGAGTTACAGACAATTAGAAGTTGATAATTCTGTCAAGTTTAAAAAGTGGTACTATGTAATTTATAGGTATCATTACCAAGGTTTGATTTGATATTTTTGAATACGTTGAGCATTGGGTAGATTGTTATAAATAAATAATATATTTGTAATATCCCAATGAGTAGATGTTGCTAATATGTTATGTGCACAATATTACGAATATATGGTACTATGTAATTGTTTTATTTTCAGAACTTCGATCCAGAGATGAACGAATACGTAGTTACTTAAATATAGATTTAAATATAGGAGATACATCATCAACATCAAACAACCTGGTAAATGAGTTTGAAGATAGTGATTATGCTGTAAGTCAATACACCTTTTTTCTGATAAAATTCATTTTTAACATTAATTGCTACTGAAAACTCAATTTTGTTTAATTTCTTGATTTCGATTAAGCGGTCGAATTAAATCATTGGTGTTTTTCCTCATAAAAAAAAACATGATAAATGTACAGAAGTATTTAATATCTGTCGACTTTACGTCGTTTCTAACTCTATTGACACATAAAATTGCTCGCAAGAAATGCACATAGTTAAAGCGAAGATGCAAATTAATTAGGAGAAGTGAAGATCACTATCAACTGAAATACTGAAAGGATATTTAACCCATAACAACTTGTCATTTACTTGTGTAAGGTAAAATATACGACGTGAAATATTTTTGTGTAGTCAAAAAAGCACGGTCGTATGTAAGACTAGACTGTTCATAAGGTATTCTGAATCAGTAGTTGAAAGATTTAGCAAATATCTTGGCCAGGATATCCAACCGAACTAGATATCTCTACAGCTCGTTTTATCACTAAAAAATGATCATATATCAACCAATTATTCGTGTTTGAGTATGAATATTAGTTATCTAACTTGTAGATCATCATACATGCTGTAATGCTATCCAGTCCATTGTGACTTTTGCGCTTATCGAAATTTTTACTTGTTACAATATGGATGTAGGTTTGGGAATCACAAAAACAAAGACGGAGTTTATTACTTACAGAAAATACAAACATGGTTGTACAACGTGAACAAGAAATTCATCAGATTGTTCAGTCTATTCATGAATTGAATGAGATTTTTCGCGATGTTGCACAAATGGTTGTGGATCAAGTAAGCACTTTAAACATTTTCGGATCAACTTACTATCTAGTTCAAAACACGTAGACTAAATTTACATTAGTTAAGTGTTTATGATTTTTGTTTTAAAAAATGGGAACAAAATGCTTAAAAGCAACCAAACAAAAGTCTTGGATGGTGTTCTATAGCAAAACACATCATAAGATGTGACACTACTTATAGAAACTTCTAAAGCAGATTAATGATTAGCGTCTTCCAATCTTCCACATGATCATGGTATTGTTTTCATCAGAATAAACCTATTAAAGGTTGAATGATATCTGTCTTGTTTTTGAAGAATATATAAATATATTCAGTAAAAATATTTTTAGGTTATATTCGATATGATAAATACGAAAATCTTTAAGTATGGCTAGCGAAGAAACAAATCGGTTCAATATGATCAAACGATTAGCAATTGTGCCAACCAATAAGATCCAAACAAGAAAATCTGGTATTAAAAAAGGACTACTTGTAAGTAATATGGTTAGATGAAATGAAATTCACTTGCGATGAAATTTTCTAACTTGCTCTTCTATGTATTTGAAAGCATCATAAATAAAATAAGATCTTGTTAGGTATTGTAGAATTAGTAAAACAAAAAATTCTTACAAATATGATGGTATTATATTGGAAGTATGAACTTTTCCTCTCGAAATTATATTGTGTTATGCTTGTTCATTGACAGTTAATTTCCTGTTTGATGTTGGAGTTTCTTTCTAAACTGCTTACTAAAAAGATTAAGAACCAATTTAAACTATCCAAAACCTTCTAAAAATATATAATAATCAAATAAATTGTACGTATGACACATCATAATTGTCTCTCGCAAATTAAACAATCTAATGTGCTTAAAATGTTTTTCGGTTTCAGAAATTCTAAGTTTGAAAATTAATAATCCAAGGTTATTGCACTCCTTATGATGGTTCCTGGTGAATGATCCGACTCGGGTTAGGAAAACCTTTCAAGAGTATTCGTATTTCTCACAAAATGTAATAGAAGGGTTTCAATCCCAATGGTGACCCAATAATGATAACATTTACGCTTTTTAACCATATGTATACATGGTATCCTTTGAAAAAATCTCCCCCAGTGTTAAGTCTTACTTCACGAGAGACCTCATAAATATTCTTAGTTATCCTATAAGTCACATCAAGTACCTTTAACTAGCGATTGACATTACCTATACAACCTGCATCATGACAGGAGCCTCGTGTAATTTGGTTTCCATATCATGTCATGCCCACCATGCTGTTGCACAGCAAATATGTTTATTACGTAGTTTGGTTCGTGACTAATAGAAGAATCCAAGACTGGTTGAAATCCGAACAAAATTATCAACGGAGGGATAATTCCAAATCCTTCCTGCCAATGATATAGATTTATTTATTAATTTCCATCACCTTAAGAAATATTAAAAAACTTTACTTAGCTTTCAACAAGGTAATAGTTATTCGTCATCGGGTCTCAAATTTTATTAAAAATCTCAAGATCGACCATCTTCAATATGATTGGTCAGTCCGTAAATTGTAGTTCTACAGAAAGGAAGTTCCGGACGAATCAAAGTTTGTCATAAAATAGTTACTAATCCTAAGTACCGTAAAACGATATAATTGTATGAACGTTACAACTTTTCACTTCATATTACTAAACATTGCAAGACTGGAGTGGTAAGTTCCCATGCTTTTTATAGATCTCGTATAAAAATGAGCGTTCATTAAATGCAACGACGTTTGCCACTTTGATCAAATGAGCAGAAAAAGACAAAAACTAGGTTCCAAGTATATCCACCTGACGTGTCCCAAGTATGACGAGAACTGCGTGAACTGTTTGCAGTTAATTAAAGTATACGATCTGTAAATTAAATATTTTGAAAACAATCCTTAAGTTTATATTAAATTATGTGCAAGCTGCGTCATAACATATTACAATTAATGTATTTGGATGATATGATACATTTTTCTAGGGGACATTAGTGGATCGTATCGATTATAATATGGAACATACTCAAATTCGAGTTGAAGAGGGTTTGAAGCACTTGACAAAAGCTCAAAGTCACCAATCGAAGGATCGTAAAATGATTGTTATCCTTGTATTGGCTGGATTGGTTATTATATTCGGTGTTCTACTGATTGTTACCAAATTTCGATAATTCACCACAGAGATTGTTCTGACCACTTTTGAAATGACCGCCATCTTTACTGCATTATTCTAAATTATTATTTAACATGAATAAATATGTGATAAAAAGTTGTCTTGTTAAGTCATTCGTCTTTCATACTTGGTTCTGAACAAATTTTTCAAATGTGTTCATATACTACTAAACCAACTTGGTATTAATAGCATCAATTTAGAATAACTTGAATTAAGGTGCTGTTAATATTTCTTCATTTATAACCTTGTGTCTATGAAATGTTTGTGTTGTTTCAACATCTTTTTTTTTGTAAATATGTAATACTCTTGTGTTATTTAATTATGAAACTGACTTGAAACCTTTCCATCAATTTTACATAATCTTTTTCTTGTATCTTACCACTTTGAGTAAAGCATTAAAATACATTCCTTCATCATTGTTTCCCATGTTGTTTGTTTCCCGACGCTTACTGTTATACTTGTGATAGTGAATGATTGTCTTAACTTTTCGTATTATTTCTTTTCCATGAGATTTTTCGTCTGTTTTCATATTTTTATTCATTTATACGCTAATGATTAAGCTTATACTGAAACTTTACAAAATGTAAATATATCAGAATATATGTATATGAAACAGAATTATATGATTTATTTTCTCTACAGCTGTTTGAAAACAAATTTTCGCTCAAATCATGCTACATATTAGTCCATCTACAGTATTTAGTGAAGTGAATACAATAGGTGTACTTTATATTTACACAATAAGTCGGAGCGAGGTAACCAGAAGTGAAAAATTCCGATACAGCTCTATCCGGCGGTGATACAATGTTAATTCCATGAGGTTTTCATAAGGACACTATAGGTGTTCTTGAAAATCAATCACTAAGAATAGGATTTCTAAAGGCACTCCATAGAATTCAAATGTACGTGTGAAATTTGAAGAATTTAAAATTATTCTTAAAAGTCCCGTTTTCATTTATCCTAATTGAATATTGCATTTCCCAACCGTCGATATAATTACTGTTTCATTTGCGGTCTTGTATTTAGTATGGTAGAACCAAAAGTATCTAAGTCATTCTAGTAGTGTTCATGTACATCATTATACTTTATGAGAAATTATTTAGGCAAATGTTGTAGCCTAATTCATTCATATTGAAGCGTAAATCTTTTACAAATGAATAATATACTTATCACAAATAAGATTTATGATTGTACTGTTTTGTTTCATTATATTCTAAACCGAAGTTATTGTGTCATAGTCGGAGATATTACATAAATCGAAGAAGGCAAAGGTAATATTGGAATATGTACCTCAAATATTTGAAAATTAAGTCCTTAAATCAATACAACTATAGTGTTGATCCATTTGAACTAGTTAACAGGCAGTGTTTGTACGTGAAATCATCGAAATTTTATATAAACTTTTATGTATTTTAATAAAAAATAAGCGACTGTAAAAGCTCAAAGTCATGAAATAATAATTAGGGGGAATATTTATGTGGTTAATTAGAACGTTTATCTAAAATAGAAATGGCATATTCGAACGAGAAGAAACATGAGTTTTCGGAATTTGATAACTAAATATGATGTGCTTCCTCAAAGGATGACTAACTCTCCTAGGTTAACTAAATATCAATAAAACAAGTGATGTCAACCACTTACTACTTACAAACAAGCCTGGTCATATCACTGTTAGGTCATTCAACTTGGATGTGACCTTATATTAAACGTCCTACTATGTACTCGTGTGTGAATAGGTATGATTATTAGACTGTGACTCAGTGAACTATTTCGTGTTTTCTCAGTGTGATTTCAAACGAGCTAAATGTGAATTGGTTTGGTAATAAGATCGCTTATATTGACCGCAGTCGGATTTAGTGAAAAACAAAATGTTTTAGGTACTTTTCTTCGAAGTCCGTTTATGTTGAAGGGAATTCAACGGAGAAAATATCTTTTTGGACAAAATCATTCACGTACATACCCATAGTTATTTAGTAAATGTATAATTTTATAGAAGGCCGAAAAGAGATTACATGAAAAAGTGATCCGATGTCTCATATATTGAAAGACGTTTGCGTAATGATTGAGAGGTTAGAGGGAATAAAATCTCGGACCTCTCTTTGTTTTTACTCAATGACAAAATGAGTTACTTTAATTATCTGTTTAAGTTATTTGTATATTCTCTGAAACCGAACTAATGTTTGCTGAAAACAGCCTACAGCTGCTATTATAGACTGGGTCTATACTGTTATTATTATTAGATCTCTCAGATGTTCTTTGGTAAAGTTTAACATTACATTAGAATCTTCAATATATATTACGTCTTAATCGACATGAGTTAATTTGTAAATACATATATTCGTATAGATGGTATTTTGTCTTTTATTCAAAATTAAGTATTTCGAAGTGTGTTAGTTGTTTCACTGAAAGTTCCAAGATTCGTATTAGCTCTTTAAATGAAACTTAGGAAAAAGGTGAATTTGTTTTGACTTTTTAATTGGAAAACAAAGTTTCAAATATAATCATAGTAGGATTAATTGTGGTGTGATCTGATCCAGTAAACAATCCTGTATATGGAATGTGTAAGTTGTGTAAAACATTAAACGAAAATTTTATTGAATAAACGAAATATACCCATTAAGACATTAATTAAGAAAGATTGATCCAGTGAAGAGTTCTCTTTTCAGCGAATTCATTTTCAAAGCTGTACAATCGTATACATGCGATAGTAATTACAATAATAATGATAATAAACTTGTGTTAGACATGGTGACAGTGAGATGGAATAAACAAAGGTATTTAAAAAAAATTTAAAACAGGGAAAGATTAAATGTAGTCAGGAGGATCATAGAAGCAGAAGTAAGCCAGATGATGGTAGAAGGATTAAGAAGATGAAAGGGGAAGCAAATGGCTCTAAAGAAAGAAGAATATGAATATGTTAGATTATTGAACTACTTGTTGAACTGTTTCCTCCTCTTTTTAAGCACGCCGGGTAATGTTCTTGAATTCTTTTGGATAAAGTACGCATCGAACGACCTGTATACCTCGCTCCACATGAGCAGGTAAATTGGTAAATGCACATTGAGTTGATCAGATGAGATAATTTATCCTTAAAATTATTCATGAACAATGATTGGCTGGCAAATAACGCTGCGAAGAACGTTCTTTTTAGAGAATCAGATATTCTCCTCTTTAAGATATATGTGGCTATGTCACCCTTAAAAGCGAAATTCATGTATAATGTTTTCTTTTCGACTGAATATTTAAGCCATTAACAATCAAACGACTATAACTTTATTATCAGAGAGGGTTTTGTGGAGATTTTAGTAATTTAATAGTTGCATTCATGAGTCAATTGAAACTAGACCACCATGGAAAACCTGAACAGCCGTCCTAGTATGAGACTCCTAAGCAGTGGGCTAGAGGTTAAGCGTTCACGCGTGGAACCGATATGTCCTGGGTTCGAATCGTAGATGCGCACTGCTGAGGAGTCCCATACTAGGACGAAACGGCCTTCCAGGTTTTCCATGGTGGTTTAGCTTCAATTGACTCATGAGTTCAACTATTAGATTATTAGTTTTCCTATTTAAAATTTTTTTAATACCTTTGTTTATACTATCTCACTTTCACCATGTCTGATACAAGTTTATTATCATTATTATTGTAATTATTATCATCCTAAAATATTAAGTATATATATTTGCGATTGTACAGTTTCGAAGGTTTTATTCTCTATGATTACTTATTTTCGAAGCAGCAACATTTAACACTATGAACTTCATTTATACCAATTTTGAGAACAAATTCATACCTGCCTTTTATATGCATTTTGAAGTGTTCAAAGAAACGGGGAAGGAATGCCACTATAAGAACTAATGGAATAGAATGCCTCGATAAAAGCAATGTCTAATGTTTACGCATCATTGACTAGAAAACCTTCTAAGTTAATAAGATTATTAACATTTCTTCTAGAATACACTGGTTGTAGAAGCTGTTGATAGAATGTAAGTACATCTACTTTCTCACTATAAAGTCAACTATTTTATGTTGAAACTGAATAAGTATTTATAAAAGGTTGTGGATCATATCTTTTAAAACTGATCGTAATGAACTACCACAGCTTCTAGTCAATATACAACCAGCTGGAATAAACGTATTAAAACATAAAAGTTATATATTGGCTGACATTGAACAACAGTATATTTTACGTTTAATTTCACAGACATTTGATTTCTTTATGCGTAAAGTTCATAAAACGTTTGCACCTGGAAGTTATACCGCGTGATTTTCCTACAGAACTTTAGAGACAAAGTATGACTTTCAATGATAAGAAACATATCCTGTGCCTCTATAAGTGCATCATAAAATACTGATCGATTAATAGATAACTAATTTATATTACAAGGTCAAATGATTCAAGAACTAGATGACAAAATGTTTGTATAGAGTCATTATTCATGTTTATATTGGGTGCCCCCGAATGCCCACATACGAATGAGGATGGAGAGAGTTCGTTCTCCCTCACGAAATCATCTTACACGGTAATGCATATACAGCCACTGCCATGGAAGTCCTACTCACTGACTTCTTGAAGTGGGGGTGTTTACGAAATCGAGAGGACGAAATGCAAATGTCCGGCGTTTTAACCGGGTTGGTGTATATGGAGGATCCATCAAGGTAATAAGAAAACCTTGATTCCAAACTAATGGTGTACATGGGCTTCAGGATACTGAAGGAGAAAATGGAGTATGAACCTATTATTGGTCACTAGCTACCATGGGGCCACATTTGCTAAAGTTGCTCCACTGGCTTGTGGATTAAACCTTTAGGTCAAAGGCTCCGGGCGTGGTCCCTTAAGAAAACCATCTGCTTCGGTTTGGGCGCGCGGGCAGTATTCCAGCGCTTACACAAATCGAATGACGAAGTGTGGAGCATATATAATTGGTGCCTCTTTGTATCAATGTTTATGTGTTTAAATAAATAAAATTTATATTGGGTGAATTTATCACACACTACTGCAGCAGAATAAATTGTTTTATCACTTATCAGGCATAAATATACTGAACTAACGTATGGATGTAATTAATGAGAATGATTATTATGTATCGTGATTGATAATGAATGGAGGACAGTTAAATGATGAAGCGAATTAGTATCAGTTTAATATTAAGTAGTCGAAATTGTCAACGAATTGGTTACTATTCAAATACATGTGTATATACAACAAATTATTAAAAATTTTTAAAAAAAATGGTTGTATGCTATGGAAATAATTTTCCGTTCAAAAGTTCAGATCGAT